CCCGCATCGGGCTCTCTGCTCAGCGGGGAGCCTGCTTCCTCCTCTCTCTCTGCCTGCTTGTGATCTCTGTCAAATAAATAAAATCTTTAAAAAAAAATAAATAAAAAAAATAAAAATAAAAATAAAAAAGACATAAGTCCTAGCGCCTGGGTGACCCAGTTGGTTGTTTGCCTCTAGCTCAGGTCATGGTCCCAGGGACCTGGCATCTAGCCCCACCTTGGGCTCCCTGCTCAGTGGGGAGACTGTTTCTCCCTCTCCCGCTCCCCCTGCTTGTGCTCACTCTCTGTCAAATTAAAAAAAAAATCTTTAAAATAAATAAATACGACATCAGTCTAAAGTTGGTTTTCATCACTATATGCAATGCTGCTAAATGTGTGCTGAATGTCTTTAAAAACTTGTATTTACCAATTTGAATGCCTTTCAAATCTGATGTGTATTATTTAACAGCTTTATTTAGCTTTTAGCCACATAGCATACAATTTAAAGTATACAACTCAATGATTTTTAGTTGTGTAATCAGCGCAACCAATTTTTAAAATTTTTATTTTTTTAAAGATTTTATTTGTTAGAGCACAAGAAGGGGAGTGGCAGGGAGAGGGAGAATCAGGCTTCCCACTGAGCAAAGAGCCCGATGTGAGACTCCATCCCAGGACCCTGGAACCATGACCTAAGCCAAAGGCAGATACTGAACTGAATGAGCCACCTAGGTGTCCAATTTTATTTATTTATTTAAGATTTTATTTATTTGAGAGAGAGAGAGAGCTCCAGCAGGAGAAGGGGAGAGAGGGGAGGGACAAGCAGACTCCCTGCTGAGCCTCTGGGGGCTCAATCTTTTAACCCCAAGATCATGACCTGAGCTGAAGTCAGATGCTTAACTGACAGCCACCCAGGCACCCCAACACAACCAATTTTAGAATATTTTCATCACTCCGGAAAGAAACTCCTTATCCATTAGTCATTTTCCTTCAACTGCCCCAGCCCTAGAAAAAACACTGTCTGTCTCTAAATATTTGCCTATTCTGGACATTTCTTATAAATGGAATCATACAATATACAGTCTTTTGTGATTGGCTTCTTTCACTTACCTTTGTGTTTTTAAGGTTTACCTTGAAACTGTAGCATGTATCAGTACTTCCATTGTTTTTATTTTTTATTTTTTAAAGATTTTATTTTATTTATTTGACAGAGATCACAAGCAGGCAGAGAGGCAGGCAGAGAGAAAGGAAGGGAAACAGGCTCCCTGCCGAGCAGAGAGCCCGATGCCCGCGCGATCCCAGGACCCTGGGATGATGACCCGACTCAAAGGCAGAGGTTTTAACTCACTGAGCCACCCAGGCGCCCCTTTCATTGTTTTTATAGCCAAATAATAATTCAGTTTTATGGGTGTTATCACTTTATTTACCCATTCATCTGTTGATGTACATCATTTTTTTTCCAATTTAGGATAGTACGAATCATGCTGCTGTGAACATTCATCAGTAGGTTTTTGTGTGGACGGATATGTGTTTCTATTTGTCTTGGTTATATTCCTAGGAATGGACTTGCTGCGCCATATAATATTTTCTCGGTAACATTTTGAGGAACTGCCAAAAGGTTTTTGAAGGCAGTTGGACCATTTCACATTAACACTAGCTATATGTGAGAGTTCCAACTTCTCCACATCCTTACCAACACTTGATATTTTCTGGGGTTTTTTGTTTATTTGTTTTTAATGGTAGCTATCTTAATGGGTGTGAAGTGGTATTCATGGTGGTTTTAATTTGCATTTCCCTAATGACTAATGATGTTGTGCCTCTTTTCTTGTGTGTACTGGCCATTTATAAATTTTCCTTGAAGAAATGTCTTGAAATCTACTGTCCATTTTTCAGTTGCATTATATACCTTTTTATGATTGAATAATGAGTATTAATTTGTATGTTTTGGATACTTAACCCTTATCAGATTTATGATTTGCAAATATTTTCTATCATTTTGTGGACTATCTTTTCACTTTGTTGATAGTGTCTTTTTTTTTTTTTTTTTTTTTTTTTAAACATAAACTCTATGCCCAACAGGGGTTTGAACTCATGACACTGAGATCAGGGGTCACATGCTCTATGGACTAAGCCAGCCAGGTGCACCTGATGTTGTCTTTTTTTTTTTTTTTTTTTTTTTTAAGACTTTATTTTTTGAGCACTCTTTGGTTCACAGTACAACAGAGGAAGGTACAAAGATTCCGTGTATGCTTCCTACACGCACACGTGGACAGCATCCCCCATTGTCAGCATCTCTCACAAAAGTGGTATGTTTATTATAATTGATGGAGCTACACTGAGATTTGAGGGTGTTTTTTGAAACAACTTAAAAATTTTTGTTGAAGTCCAATTTTTTTCTTTTCTTACTTTTACTAAGAAGGCTTTGCATAGCCCAAGGTCAAAGGTTTACTCCTGTTTTCTTTTGTATTGTTTTAGCTCTTACATTTAGGTCTATGATTCTTAAGAGTTAATTTTCATGTATGTGTAAGAAAGGGATCCATCTTCATTATTTTGTGTGTAGTTTTCCAGGTGTGCCAGCACCATTTGTGAAAAGGATTGTTCTTTCCACCTTTAGTTGTCTTAGCAGCCATGTAGAAGAAAGTCAACTGGCCATAAATGTGAGGATTTATTTCTGGTCTTTTATTTCTACTCTGTTGATCCTTTAGATCTATTCTTGGGCTCCACTGTGTGGCATATATATATATATATATATATATATATATATGTTGCAGATCTTCATTATGCTGTTTTGATTACTGTCACTTTTTGACAGGTGCCCCTGTCATTTCTCTTAAATAGGTATAGTTAATTTTTATGTATTAATCTTGAATTTTGCTGATTTGTTTAGTAGTGTAATAGCTTTTTAAAAAGTAGATTCTGGGGCCCCTGGGTGGCTTAGTGGGTTAAGCCTCTGCCTTCGGCTCAGGTCATGGTCTCAGGGTCTTGGGATCAAGCCCCACATCAGGCTCTCTGCTCAGCAGGGAGCCTGCTTCCCCCTCTCTCTCTGCCTGCTTCTCTGCCTCCTTGTGATCTCACCCTCTCAAATAAATAAAATCTTTTTAAAAAATAAAAAATAAAAAGTAGATTCTAGGTGCACTTGGGTGGCACAGTCAGTTAAGTGTCCTTCTCTTGGTTTCAGCTCAGGTCATGATCTCAGGATCATGAGATGGAGCCCTGCGTTGGGCTCCGTGCTCAGCGTGGGGTCTGCTTGAGAGTCTCTCTCCCTCTCCCTCTCCCCTTCCCACTCGTGCTCACATGCGCACGCTCTCTCTCTCTCTAAAATAAAGAAATAAATCTTTTTAAATAAATAAATAATAAAAAATAGATTTCTTGGTATTTTCTATATATAGGATGATGTCATCTGCAAATAAAGGTAGTCTACCTTCTATTTTTCTTGCCTAATTTATTTGACTAGAATCTCCATTTTTATATATATATTTTATATATACATATATATATTTTATATATATATACATATATATATTTTATATATATGTATATATATACACACATATATATATATAAAAATGGAGATTCTAGTCAAATAAATAAATATATATATATATATATATATATATATATATAAAATCTTAAAAAAAAAAAAGACTATTTATTTGACAGACAGAGATCACAAGTAGGCAGAGAGGCAGGCAGAGAGAGAGAGGGAAGCAGGCTCCCCAACGAGCAGAGAGCCTGATGGGGGCTCGATCCCAGGACTCTGAGATCATGACCTGAGCCGAAGGCAGAGGCTTAACCCACTGAGCCACCCAGGTGCCCCAGCTATATGTTTTTTATAGATTCCCTTC